CCTAACTCCATTGGACAAAACTCTCACAGGTGTATCACTTAGTTTCTCTCGAAAATATCTCACTAGTCCTTACTCACAGATCCCTTAAGAATTTAAGGCTCTGATACCACTGTTGATGTACTTATTGAGAGAGAAATAAGAAAGTGGGGGAAGTCATAATTTCATTCATTAGTGCTCCATATAAATACATACTATGATACTAAAAATAAACATAACTATCTCCACATAATTAGCTACTCAACTAACCCATAAGAATAGCAACTTAGACTTCACTACAACTAAAAAAGGAATATCAACAACTTCCTAAAAACTAGGTCTTTGACCAAACCAATTCAAAACTAACATTCAAACTTTGTATTTGTAGCTTTGAGTTAACTAACAGCCTCCACAATGTCATACCAAGTCTGATGTAACCCTAACCAACTAATTCTTGCAATTTCCTCCTCAATTCTCTTAATCTTGAGGTAGACATTAAACCGATTCTCACTCAATTTCTATTTCACTATGTAATCTCTTAAAACATCCGATCTTACTAATTTCTTCTTTTCCCCTTATGCTTTGCTTTCCGGTAATATATGAGTTTCAAATTCTTTAAACATGCGCATTCTGCCACCTCGATGCATGACTTTATATAATATAATTCGTATCACACATTCTTTAAATGAACTGTAATGTATGTACTTCTCATCTAATGCAGGACCTTAATTTTGCTCTGATACCAAACTGACACGACCCGTCCCAAACACCTACTAGTCTTAGAACGAGTCGCGCCAACCACAGACCCCGACTAACTACGAAGTCAGTGGTCAACTTCTTTCTTTCCTTTGACCTGAACTTTGACTAACAACTCCGAATGGATGCACAATAAAATATTAATCTTAACCAAACAACCATTCTTACATCCATTCTATACATTATTTTCCTAACAACAGAATGCAGATAAAATTTCTTACAAACCAACTAAACTACATACAAAGAGATATGCAACTCTTGAACAACTCGGGGTGGCAGAAGCTGAACTAAATTCTTCTTGAAACTTAGAAACTCAGATACTCAGGTATAGCCTGGGGGGAAAACAAAACATGAACAGTGAGCTGAGAAGCTCAGTGAGTGGTAAGTTAATAAGAAAATATTGTGGTCAACTTCCTTTCATAAACAACTGAAAATTCAGCTCTTAAAACAAACATCATAAAACTGAAGTAATAATCATTCTCATTAAAATTCCATAAAATTCGAGTAAAACTAGAGCAACGTTATACATTTCATAAAACTTAGTAAACTTCTCAAAATCAAACTTGTAACAACAATTTCTTTACAGGCAAACCGAAAAGACAACGCTCCCAAGTCCAGGATTCGGAATCCGGATTTGGCCCTTATCGCCCCGGCATTCCCCTGCATCCCCTGCGACCTAGTTACGCCAACTTCTCAACATGCTCTAAAACACATTCTAAAACATATAAAACATTCTTCTTCAAACATAAAACAGATAGATAAAACTCAACACCACACATGTATCCACATTCTATTCTGGTCTACTAGCATAGAGTAATCTCAATACGCATAGCAGAATAATTCTCTCAACACGTGGAGTAAAATGGTCCCAAAGACCTTCTATTTCTGGGTATACTATAGAAACACATTCTCATAGCATACGGGTAATCACTTGGATACAATGACATGGTGGTTTGAAAACTTCTTTCTCAATCTCATAAACTGTTCTAAAATTCTTCTTTTCTTCTTTCTAAGAACTTTTCTTTCTTTCTCAAATCATTTCTAAAATCTTTCTTTCTAAGAACATTTCATGAAATTCTAATATTATTTTCTGAAATCTCTTTCTAAATAACATTTCATAACTTTCTCGAACATTTCTTTAAATCATTAAGCATTTCTGAATTCTAATAAACATTTCTAAAATAATTCTTTCTAACACATTTTCTTCAATTCTCAGCAGAAATGCTAAATCATACATAATATATGTACTTTCTTGAAATTCTATCATGATAAACTTCTAAAAACATGTCCAAAATAAACCAGTCACAAATCAATAATAMTATCCAAAAACGTTTAATAAAATAACCACTCACTAATCCTTCAAACTCGGTCGTCCTCCGTTCCAATTTCTACTCGACCTGAAATATCGATTCAATACCAAATTAATTCATGCTTTAATCCAATTTAACTTCTAACATATTTTTGTTTCCAATTGAAATTATATTACCTTCCAAATTAATCCACATAAATCCAATTTTATAACTCATTCTCTCTCTTCATTAACAACCCACCCTTTTTCTCTCTCATACCATTTACAAGTGGGTCCCACCAAAACCCATTGAATTTCTTTTCCTTTCACATTCTCACGTGATTTCCCCTTCCTTTTACCAATTCATTTTTACTTTTCTCAATTAAATTCTATTAAAAAATTCCTCTCTCTCCCTTCCCAAAAACTATTCATCTTCTTCTTCTTTCTTCTCCAAAACCCATGGATTTTCTTCCTTTCTTCCATCATCTTTCTCTGTTTTTCTTTCTTTTTCTTCAACCAAGAACCACAATTTAAACCTCAAATAACTTGTCCTTCACAAAACCCACAAATGAGAGGAGTCTATTTTCGAGAATCTCATGGTTTAAGACACTGAAACTTACCCAAAAACAAGCTTCAAAAACTCCAACCGATTTAAAAAAAAACTCTTCCTTCCTCCTTAGCCGTACACCACCCTCGATTTCTTTCTCTTCCCTGTTCATTCTTCTTCTCCTACGTTGTCTCTCTCTTTTCTTCACACTTCTTTCTTTTCTTTCCTTTTTCCGTTCTTATGCTTTCTCTTTCTTTCTTTTC